GGGCTCCAGCCTCTGGCTCCCGCTCCTCCAGGCTGCACAGGCATCCCGAGATGGTGGTGTGGGGGACGGGACCCCCAGGCAGGAATGGAATGTGGCACCCCCAGCTAGAGATGGGACACGAAACCCATAGCCAGAGATGGGGCAGGGGACACCTGACCAGGGTTAGGGCCTGAGACCCCCAGCCAAGGACCTTTTCTCCCCACCGATGATACCCACAGGGGCTCAGCGCTCAAAAAGCTCAGCCCCTGAGCCGCCTGAACACCCCCCTCAAGCTACCCGAGCCGGGACCATGGCACACATCAGCTTGTGCTTTCGTACCTTTTCAGTATCGGTTCAAGAACAACTTTTCAAATACCACTAGCCAGGCTGAAGCACTGGGGATTTGGTGCCCCTGCTGACGATAACACGCTTTTCCTTGCCAAGAAACCATTTCCAAAGAGTGCTGCGGGCTTTGGAGTTTAATTAAATATATATATATAGATGTGTGTGCGTGTATAAAATGATCTGGTTGTGATAAGATCCAGCCTGTGAGCTTGTGGCTGCGAGCCTGCCTGGTGGGTTTGATGATAGGCAACACGTGTTTTCCCTCGAGAAGAGTTCGATGCTTATTTTATGCTCTACGGCCAAAGGGCTGGTGCTCATTTTGGGTCCGGGATGGGCCTGAGGACAGGATCCGACCCTGGGGGAGAGCGATGCTCCACACCAGGCTCTCAAGGATGCTGGCATCCCCCCCGGATTTTGGTGGCGGGCAGAAGCCGAGCAAGGCAGGGGGAAGGGGGAAAGGAGTGGAAAACGCAGCGGAGGAGGAAAAAAGAGGCTGGAAAAGCAATAAATGAGGTGCAAAGGGAATTGTGCTGCCCACGGCATCCTCTGTACATGCTGAGGGGTAAATCACGGCTGCTCTGACCCTGCCGCAATCCAGTACATTCCTCTCGGCTAAATTACAGCATTTAATGTGCTGAGCATCCGGCAACTTTCTGTCCAGCAGCAGAATCTCTTGTTTTTCTTCAAATCTGTTTATTTGGCCAAACCAGCTCATTCTCCTGTGGCGGAAAGGGCTGTTATTCTGCTTGTTCTCTGCTGCAGGGGTTTTTGTGCTGTTTTCGGTGCCCTCTGCCCTGTGTCGAGTTGGGTTGGCTGCCCTCGCTTCCCATGGCAGCCAGCTCCCGTGGTGGCTGGGCCTTGACTGAGGCACAAATGCTTCCTACTGGACCATCCCACTAGGGGATCAGGCAGCCAGTGCCTCAGTTTCCCCACTGTAGGATGAGGACAACAGCCCTTCCCCACTGCTTGGGGCTGCCGTGGCACCAGGCGGCATCCTGCGGCCCCGGCATCCCCATCTCCCTGGGACCGGACATCCAAGCATTTCCCTGAAAGCAGAATCTGGCCCTGGCCAAGCCAAATTCCTGCCTCTTGGCACGGAGCATGGCCACCAAGGGTAAAAACACAATGAGACAAACTCCATCCCGGTTAATATTTCCTCTGCAGGATGGAAAATATGGTGGGAGGCATCGCAGTGGAGCCAGGGAGAGCTGGCTGGGTGCCACCATGTA